ATGATGATGTATGATTGCGGAATTCTTTTCCACTGCCGGGCTGCTTGTAATGAACAGGTGATAGTTCGTTGTGTTTTTGGAGATGTTTTAAACATTTAGTTTTGTCCCATGTAGTCTCATTACAGTTGGCATCTGGACACATGTGCTTTTTCACATCTGGAAAATAACTGTAATGATATTTGTATTTATATCTAATCTTTCTATTGCTTCATTTAGTAATTAACTGACTCAATTTGAAAACTAAAGCGGCAAACAACAATCTACTGAGGTCAGAAAAATATTGCGGTAATTATTGGATTTTGAATTGCCACTTCACTATCGTTAATGCTTTGTAACACATTTTTATGTGAATAAACACGTTGAAACTTCTTTTGGTAAACATAAACTTTGCGAAACTAACCTCCAAATCCGTGGGAATATTCCAAATGTTTCTTTAGTGTAATCTTATAAGTAAAGAACTTGTTACAAATTCCACAATGAAGTTTAGGTTGATGCACTTCTTTATGGTATCGAAATCCCATTGAGGAATGGAATTTTTTTTCCACATTCGGGATAAGTGCAGTGATATTTCCCGTGCCCTTAAAGTTGTTCTGAATATTCCTTATGCATCAGCATACTTGCATTACAATAACGACATTCATATTTCTGCCCATCTGAAAAACTAATATGACGTTTGTGTTCACAAATCCATTTTACATGTTAATTAACAAATATAGTTCGAAAAATGACTGTGTCAGCATCATTGATTGAACCTGTCAAATCACATTTCGACTAACATGAATTACGAAAAAATGTTGGCATAGAATGAACATTTCTTAGTTATCATTCCACTGTGTCAAACGACGTGCGTTTATTTCAATCAGATGAAAATGCTAAAATTTTCGCTGAATTTGCAAAACTCACGAGAAGCTCTGCAGCTTTGTTTCTCGTGTCTCCGTAGTGAACACTTGTGGTTGGAGGAAAAATCACACTTTTCGCACATAAATTTATCCACTTCCCTCTGGGCAGAAAATGATGATGTATGATTGCGGAATTCTTTTCCACTGCCGGGCTGCTTGTAATGAACAGGTGATGGTTCGTTGTGTTTT